CACAGGTAATGGGGAAAAAATAAGAACCAAGATGCATCATGTACAGGTACAAACACCCAATGATAAATGTAAACGAATTGTATACCTAAAATGTATCAATAAAAGAACTTAGAAAAAAAATTAATAAAATATGCTGTAACATCTTTTTTAAAAAGCAGAGCAAATACCACACATGACTAATTTCAATTTTAGCTGGCTAATGTTCAGGGAGGACATATATTTGTCATGGAACGTAGCACCTTTTGACATTTTTTTACTCAAATCTCAATTATCAGTATGAATCTGCACAAACTAATCATTGTTTTATATATGGATGATTTATTATCTCTAAGAAAGCCTTACCTTCATAATTATCTAGTATTTTCATTTTTTTGGAAGGCATAGTAAGCATTCTAATACTGATATGCTCAAAACATTTGTAAGATTTTTTTAAGAATCCCCTTACTTTCTGTAGGCACACTATCCATGACACATGAAGGCAAGCATCACATTCTCACTATTAAACCACAGGCCTAAAAGATCCATCTTCCTTAAGGCCAGCAGGTTCCAGAAGTTTCTCTTGACTATCTAACCCCTACCACATATCTAACCACATAAACACAGTTATCAATTTCCACTGGAGCAACTCAGGGTAATGGCAGGCAGTGTGTGTGATGTGGGAAGAAGGACAAAGGAAGCAAGGTCCAGAGGATGTGGGAGGAGGTCAGAGGGGGTGGGGGAGACATGAGGTGGCGTTACAGTACCTGACAGCCTGTGAGAGCAAGAGGAGTAAGAGAGACCAGGTAAGAGAGCGCTCACGGTGTGGGGCAGGAACTGGATGCTTTTAGTGGCAGGCAAAGCCTCAGAGAGATGGACACAGTTGCTGATAGACTGGCTTCGCTTAGCTTCCAGGAAAGATAAAGTGGTATCATGTCAGAAGCATATCAAAACCTTTCACTACTTTTTTATTATTCTATTTCTGGGCTCTCCTTACACATTTAAAGGAGGTCATTTTAAACTTTAAAGAAAGGCAGTACAGACTACAATATTTAATTGCAGTCTAAATAAATACAGCCAGCTTTCAGTCAATCATTCTGGGACACAGGAGTGGGCAATCACAGAGAACCCATTTTAGTCCAGAGTGCCTTCTGCGCTTAGCTTTTCCTTTTTTCTACTCTGCATAGAAGTCACATGTGGGCTATTTATTTAGGCAAACATGTGATCCATTTTCCCTCCTGAAGGTCACAAAATGACCAGGCTGAGAGAAGGAAAATCTGGCTTAAGATGACAATTCTTTGGTAAGGGTAAATAACTCAGAAACTGATTGCTGAGAGATGACTGTATTCAGAAGTAAATCTTTAGTAAATTAATTATTCTAAAAGCTCAAGAACATATGATAGTTGAGTTGAGCATTAAAAGGTTTGGTATATGAAAAAAATGCTAAACTCTCCATAAAACTTAACCTGTTGTGTCATGTTTGGTGTTTATTAAATGTGTATTTTCTTTATATCAACTTTATGATATTTTTAAAGTTTTCTATCTACTACTAGTAAAAGAAACATTTGAGGAAATGGGTGAATAGAAGAGAATGTTTCATATATATAAAACCACAGTGTATAAAATCAGTTTTATCCTTAAACATATATATAAAGGAAAAAAATACATATAAAGGTTTACTTGCTATATTTTTTATGTACCTTTAATATTAACTTGAAATGAGAGGAACTACAAGTGATAGTGCCACATTTGCAAAAAAGTGAAACAAACTTTTCACTTTATTGTCCTTTCCTCCATCCTTTTCTATTAGAATTCCCAGGGACAGGACAATCTGCAATGTGATTACAGTGTAGGTCACATATGTAAATGATGAATGTCATAGACTTGTCAAACTGGCTCACTTCAAAGAGATTTGTGCATCTCTCCATATGTCAGAGACTTTTCATTTAAGTATTGTTTTAAAAGCTCTCCTGTTAGAAATCAAATGATTCTCCTTTTTCTAGATATTTTAGAAATAATGAAATATGGAGTGTTTTGTGTGGAAATTAAGACTTGCTCTGATCATCCACACGTATAAGACATCTAAATTCTTACCATCATGCATACCCAGGGAAAGAGCTTCCCTTTAAGACTGCTCACCAGGCCTCTGAAGTTGTACTCCAGTGCACTCTCTGTTAACCTCACGGTCATTTCTCTACTCTATGACTGCTTGGTTTATATTTTATGTTTCATCTTCATTATCTTTCAAAGGTGATGTTTCCAGTTTAAAAAAATATACAATTCACCCCTCTGGAGCCAGGCTTGTGGTATTTAAGCATGCATTCCCCAAAAGCCTTGACCTGACTGTGTAACAGTGTGATTTTCCTCCTGTGAGCACTAACAAGCACAACCTGGCTGGCTGAATAGTGCTGAGTATTTTAAATACACTAGTCCCTCTACCATACTGGTGGTTTATAATACCTGCTAGAAATGGGGGTGCAATGTCTTCTGTGGCTGGATTGGCCAAGGAGTGGCACATGGAGCACTTAGTGTGCAATGACTTGCTGCTTGTTAACATGTGAGAATAAAATTTAAAAGTGCTTTTGCATTAGCACTTTTACTGTATATGTGATGCAAGAAGGGCAAGGGATGGCACGAAGTTTGGACAGCTCAGGCAAGGTGCTAACTTTTGTCAAAAACTTCTGATCACCTTCTTTTAAGTGATAGACAAAAGGCATTTTTAGGAATTGGAATGAGACAGGAAATCAGTGAATGAGCATCCCCAAAAGCTGCATGGTACCAGGAATGAGTTCTCTCCTCAGGGGATAATATGAATGAAATCGAGAAGCAGAACTGGAGATGCAGATAGATAAGGTGCTAATTACCACTAAATGCTTTGGCAAAAATCATGAGATGTTTGGGCTAAAGCATATTTTTATTAAAAACTCTAACAGAATTCTAAATCATCTCTAGTAACCTTTTAGTAAGCACTGTAAAGTACGTTAAGGTTGAATCTCTGTTTTATGGCCAGAGGGCCTTATGATTTTCTGAAGTCAACATGCTGAAAGTCAGTTACAATTGCATGATACTACTGATGAGAAAAACTACAGGAAACTGAGATATCGTTGTTTTAAACATAAGCTACAGCCTCAAAGCCACTGTGGAGAAGGAAACTTTATTTGTTCTCATTAAATACTGGATACAAGCTTCAAAAATTTTTTTCTCTTTTTATTTTATGAGTAAAAATCAGCAAAGCAGTCAGATCAGCTAGGGGTTCTTGGTCAAGTTCTTATTAATTCAAATAGGCTATAAAAGACAACATCCATCCACAAAAAGCTCAATTTCCAAAGAAGCAAAAAAATGAAAATGTCTCCATCCAGTCCTGAAAAGTGAGTGCATCCTCCTTCTTCTTTGTCAGAATGGTTAACACACTCTTTTGAGATTAACACTGGTTTAATGATGATAATAATGTGACTAATGGTGTATTAGAAATCTAGTTTCTTCAACATTCCCAAAATCCCTCTGTGTCTTCTATTTTGCACAAATATCTACTCAATGTTAATATCTCAAGGTTTTTTGTCCACAACAGAGTTCTGAATTAAATATCAAGGGCTACAATCTGAGAAGTAATTAGAACAGAAAGCCAAAAGATGGAGAAACGTTTCATCTAAATTCTGAGTAGAATTTTAAAACATTTAATTCCTGTAAGTCCATGTTAGATAACAGATAGATTTCTCAAAACTGTTTAAATCATCACTTACCAGTTGCTTTTTGGCGGACGTTATTTCTTGCCTTCTCTACCCCGGGTGCCCCAGATGTGGTAGCACTCCTGAACCGCATGGGCTCGGTCACATCTGGGTGGCTCCGCCAGCTGAGAGAAAAGGATCTCCCCACAGTGGTCCCTTTCTGAGAATCCAGAACACAGCCTGATAGAGAAAAGGTGAGAAAATATTCTGAAGGTTAAATTCATTAGCAGTCCTTCACCACCTATGTCGCTCAGCAAAGGAGTACAAGGAGCGACAGACAAAAACAGACTCCTGCTGCAGACAAGGGATGCTTCCTTACACCACAGTTGAGGACATCAGTGATAGGCCAGCAACCCGAATGTCCTCATCACTGAATAATCTCCATCTTCATCATATTCACTTCAACATACAAAAGAATATATTAATAACCCTTTCTCATTACGAGACAATGTCAAATGAAGTTACACTACAGCTCCCAGGACATTTCTAAAACCACTACTTATAAACCAAAAACTCAGAGATCCTGATGTTAGAATAGTGCTGGATCCTGGAGACACCAACTCCTTCATAAATCCCCAGAGAAATCTGACTAGAAGCCCTAACGGAGATCTGATTGAAGCAGCAAGATAATGAAAATCTATAAATAATATGACATCTTATTTTAGAAAAACTCCAAAAACAATAAAGCATTGCAATTAGAGATTCACCTTCTCCTGTCTCTCATATTGTTCTGATCAATTACTTCAAAGAGAGGTCATGAACCCAAAATTTAGGAGGAAAGAAGAGACTTGGGATTTGGGCACAGGTGCAATGTAGCAGAGCTGCCACCTGTGACCTGCTTTCACAGCCAGTTCCTCTGCCTGTGTTTGTTGCTGTTGCTAGTCTACTGCTGAGAAGGCAAGTGTTTCCATAATGGATATTTAAATCCTACTTTAGAATAAAGCAATACAAATTAGAAACATGTACCATAGTCATTATTTAAATAATTTGTTCTGTGCCATTATGAAAAGTGTGTTTGCACAGTGGGAGGGGAGAGAATATTGTAGGGTGATGTGTGCATGTGTGCGAAGATTTCAGGAGGCAGGAAATGTACTTAGTGAGGAAGTAAGTCCTTATCCCCTCTCGGCTCCTCTTCACCTCTACCCTGAAAGGTACTCTTAGCAGAGTAAATTCTTCTGGGCTAAGAACCATTGGCCTAGGGAGCAAGTTCTGGGGTGGAAGCATCTTGATCCTTTCAGACCTTGGTTTACATAGAGGCCAGCAGAGTAGTAAAAGAGAATGAGAAGAGCCAAGGGCCCAAGCTCTTGGCTCCCAATCCTACTTTCATCCCAAATCTCTACTGCAGACAAGAATCAGTCCCTTTAACTACATGTCATATGGCTAATTAACCACTGTGGTCAATTCATACCTCCCAGAGCCACATCCACTGCTGTCCTTCCTACACTGACTCTGGGCTTCATCATGTGACTTACTTTGGTAGCAAAACGAAACAAGCTAAGACTTAAAATGCACTTGAAAAGTTAGAGCTTATCCCTTGCTGTTCTGGGAACCCTGAGCCATCACATGGACAAAACTGAACCAGCCTCCTGGTGAGGAGATAGGTGGCCCAGTCACACCACTGTCCCCAGGACAGCTGCCTGGCTGACCACTGCATGGCTTTGAGGACTGCAAACACAGGAGTGAATCAAGCAAAGACCAGCAAAATTGACCAAGGGAATGCAGCTTAAATTGTCAACTATAACACCATGGTCTAAGTAAATGATTGTTATGTGCACCAGATCACACAGCAACAGCTAACTGATTCAGCCCATACTGCGGTTATTATTGAGGTGCGGTCTACTACACTTAGCCATGTGTTCCCTTGATGAGGCTTTGAAGGAGAGATTTCTCCTATGTCTTAGGACCCACAAGCTGGGGATTTAGCTCTGTGGTGCCGCCACTTGCCTTGCAAGTGCAAGGTCCTGAGTTTGATCCCCGGTACCAAAAAAAAAAAAAAAAAGAATACAGAACCCATGAAGGTTACATATCATCTAAGGAAGAGGACTGTTTTTACCTGAGGTACTCTGCATTCCTGTTGAATGTGACCCTGAGAAAATCAAAGCCAAATCCCAGACCACCCCTCATGTCTCCCAGCAAGCACAGGACTCTTGACACAGCAGCTTAACCTATAACTCCTCCCTGTTCATGTTGCTCTGCTCCCTTCTCACATGATCTACTGTACTAATGCTTTTCTATGCGCTGCCCCAAATCTTTACAGGATAAATTGTAGTGCAGACAAATTCAAAGACCATGTCACAGCCTTGAGAACTAACAAAGAAGAGTGCCAAATTGTCACTCCCAGAAAAAACCCCCAGTTTTTTTATCCTCAAAAACATGATTTTCATTTGAGATCCTAGATCTCAAAACAGTTTTTACCCAGAAACACAAGGCCCAAAGGGCTTCCATCTGAAGCCTTCAGAGATTCTCCACATTTCCTAGGCAGAGCAAGTCTTAGTAGTGTGACACCTTCAGCTAGACTTGTCTGGTTTTTTTTTTTGGTACAGGGGATCGAACTTGGATCCTTGCGCTTGCGCAGCAGGCGTCGAAACCACTGAGCTAAATCCCCAGCCCAGCTTATCTGGTTTTGATTTCTGCCTGTGCTACTTTTGAACACTGTGACTGAAAATGGGCCCATCGCTGTGAAGTTCCTGTATTTTAGGTTTATGTCTGTGGGACAGAGACAGTGATGGCTCCTGCTTCTCAGATTGTCGTGAGGGTGGCAGGAGACTCTGCACAGCCTTGATCACTGATGCTGTCGACATTATTACTACTGGTCAGCCCCCTCATCTTCCTCCTCTCCAGGAACACACCACTCTTGCTAGGGGACAGAGCAGTAGGAGACACAACCTAGTACACCACTGAAGGACCCTCCATGATGGCACAGTCACTATAAAACGACATGTATGCGTTTCACAGAGATGTAGAGACCCACCCCTCCCTGACCTCGCTGGGCCTACCTTTGCCCCGCTGCTTCTTCTCCTTCTGCTCACTCAGTTTGTCCAGAGGCAGGTTTGTCATCTCAACTCCATATACAGTTCTTGCCAGCACCGCAGTCAGGGAGTCCATGATGTTGGCCCACTCGCTTATGAGCTCCTCCCACTCAGTGAGGGAGGACAGCACGCCCAGAAAGTTGTCCCAGAGCTCCCGAGAGATGAACACGCAAAGGTTTGCTCGGATCCACGCCACGATGAGTGTCTAAACCCAACCACCACAAGAAAACCAGGTGGGGAGAGGTGTAATACTGAACACAGTATCTTTAAGTTGGTATTACTAAAGTTTTAAAATAAGAAGTACTTTCAGATGCAGTTTTTTTTTTAATTTTCAAAATGCATTTGTCTAACTGTAATCAGGATTTAGTTATCAGTGTGCACAATGCTACTGGCCCAGTACTGGCCCAGCCATGAGGCGGAGCCTTGGCCCCAGCTCCCTCCTGTGTATGAGCTCCAGCCCTGCCCCTGCAGACTTCGGAGGGATAGACCACTAAGGGGACCCCAACCTCAGCTCCTGCCTCTGCTCCCACTGCACTCACTCTGCTTCTGCAGGCTGTCCTCTGAGAGGGGCTCCCACACTTCCCCTTCTGCCCCAGACCCTTGCTCAGAATCTCTCCTCATCTTAAAACAATAAAACATTTCATTTGGTCCCAGATCTCCCCTGGGGAAGTCAAACCTCCAAAAGGAAGCACCACAACACCACACACACTCCTTGTCCCCACCTCCTGATCTCCCCCACTCTTGCACCCTCTGCACCTAAGATTCCACTGAGTCTTGCACACAGCCCAGATCATGCCATGGCCTCTTGCTGTTCCCAGCCTCCCTAGAGAGCTGCATTTGCTGGAGCCTCACATATAGCAGTGGAAGACTGGATGCAGCACCCCTGTGCCTTTGCATGTGCTCTTCCTGCCCCTCCCCCATCTTGCCTCTCTAATGCCCACTTATTCTTCAGGTAGCAACTTGGACACCCTGTCCTTCAAAGATGACAAGTTACATATAGATTTTTTTTTTTGGTACCGGAGATAGAACTGAGGACCTTGCACTTGCGAGGCAGGCGGCAGAACCACTGAGCTAAATCCCCTGCCCCTAGATTTTTTTTAAAGATTAAAAAAAAACTTTTAACATAGACACAGGAAAACTAAAAAATATGAATCTGCCTATAATTAGGCAGGCGTGTTCTGATCACTTGAAAAAGTACATTTAAAGTGATCGTTTAAAAATATTTGTTCTATGTGTTTCAATTCATGTTTACTATACTTTTTTAAAGGATAAAAATGAAAAGTAGAACTAAAACACATCAAAAAAACAAGATTCAAAATTCATTCAAAATCTGGTACTAATATGAATAATTTTTTAAAAGAACACTGTGAAAATAGTTGTACTTATGAATACTTCATTGAATATTTTTATTAAGACTGAAATGCCAGCTTCTAACTATTCATTTATATACTACTATTTTCATAAGCAGTTTGAGGCCATTACCATAAAGTACATGCATACAATAAAAACAATCCTGACATAGCAGTAGTGATCTAATAATAAATATCAGTATGTTTATTAGATAATAAACATAATCTCAGCAGAAGAGAAAAGAGAGGAGAGATTAGGGATATGACACTTGCTCATGGGGAGCCCTGAGGACAAAGCCAGCTGTTGTGATGCAACAAGAGGCCCTGGACTGAGGGCACTCTTTGGCTTCACTCTGTTGACTAATTATAAAACAAGGAGGAAGATGGTTTCTGGCAGCCTTAAGATTCCTGCTACCAAGTAGCACCAACATGTACACAGCTGTAAATCATCTGCATGGCTCATGATAGCATGGCACACAGCACAAAGTGGGAGTTAGGAGTGAGGGTGGCCTCTCTGCACGGGAAGGCAGGTGCCCTTTCATCAATTCTCCTTCTGAAAAGGAGAGAGGAGAGACCCAGACTTGGGCTGTGCCACTCACCTGGCGTGTGACCTGGCCCTGTTTTTGGGCTGGTAGAGTTCCCTCATCACTGACACTCACTGTTGTTTAGCACAGAAGCTACGTACAAACACCAAGCCTCTAGGTGGGCATAGTGACACACGCCTGTAATCTTGGCACTGGGGAAGCTGAGGCAGCAGGATTGTGAGTTGAAAGCCAGCCTGGACTACGTAGTGAGACCTTATCTCAAAAAAACTAAACAAATAACTAAATGAATTTTTAAAACTCTGCTCCCCAACCACTGTCTGACTCCCTTTGCCCCCACAGCAAGGGCTCCCTGACTGTCAAGTCACAGACCCTCCTGTGAACAGCAGGAGCACTGCTTCCCACACACTTTTAAGGTTGAAGTCAGTACTGATATAGATTCAGACATCACTTTGAGCAATCATCATTATTTGGTAAATATTTAAATTTCCACTATTTGAACAAAGTTTGCTACCCAGATTACCTACTGAAAAAAAAAGATAAACTCTAAAGGAAGAATCAAAAGAAGATAAATAGTACCTTAGAAATTCCTTGTCCTTTTTAATAGTCTACAAATGTAAAAAAGTAAATAAATAAATAAATAAGGCAAGCAAGCATCCGGCCATTGTAGAGAGTCATGCAACAAATGAGTCATATTGAGCACACTTTCACTGCAATGTGACACTAGATGGTGCCCACCTGACGGCCTCCCCAGCTGTCCAGCTTGCTCCCCTTTTTCCCTTCTGGATCTCACGTAAGGACTTAGGAGGTCAGCAGATAACCCTGAATCCCAAGAACCCACACTGACCCTCCAGGACCCCCAGTGGGAGTAAGAAGTCCTCTCTTGACTGCAGATCAGCCATGCAACCAGGAAGTGCCACAGTAGGGGTCTGCAGCAGGACCTGTCAAACTCCAAAAAGCTCAACCTCCCTCCAAAACAACTGCAATCAGAGTCATAAATAATCACGAACCCATGACTCCATGGAAATATTCTTCATGGAAGATCTGACAAGATTTCTCCATTAATGACAAGATTTCTCTCTTCATTCATTAATGAATCCCCCCAAATACACACAAACAAAAACCCACAACTTCAGACTAGATTCTCACTTAATTCTGCACCAAGTTCTCTCTCTAATCCCACTGCACACAATGGTAGGCTGGACAGCTGGTGAGCAAAGACCCATGCCCTGGCCAGTGGGACAGTGCCTCAGCTCAGGCCCATTGGACAGCCCGGACCTGGGCCAGATGCTTGGGAGGGTGCTGGCCGCAAGACCTCCATGCAGGGCCAGGAGAGTACAGGCAGGATTGGGGCAGTGACCGGTACCGCTCTCAGTTACAGCAAAGCAAAAGTGTGCATGGGTAAAACCCACGTGCAGGGCCACTCTGCACCACACAAAGTAGGCACGGCCACCAGGGTAAAGGAGCCATATTCAGGAAGTGAGTCAGCCTGTCTCCTCTTTAGCCTCTCGGTCCTGTCTGCAAGCCAAGACATAATTATACAACTTATAACCATACTAACTTATTGCAATTTGATATGAACAGCGGAGTTACAATGGAAACATTTAGCTTTAAAGAGTAACTTCTCCTTCTGTCACCTTTACCTGCATGTGCTACCTGCTAATCTACACATATTCCTTCCAGCCAACTGAGAAAGGGCAGCAGGGTCTCCTCCCAGCACCCAGTATGCCAGCGCCAGACCCACCATGCTTCTGCTCACCCACCTGTGTATTCAACACCTGCTCACCCACACTTGTATTCAAATAGAAAGTCACATCTTTCTTTCCAAAATGTCCCTAAATTCTCTGTTCCCTGAAACTACAGGCAGTACTGCAGCAGGCTGCTGCCTGAGACCTAGGTACTTGTACCCTGCAGGTGTCCATCAGCCGTCAGCCTACTCCTTTTCCTTCCGCTGTGCCTGTGGGGTACGAGAACACAGCCCCACTGTGTCTGCGACATAATTCTCGCAATTCTGTCCCCTGGCCACTCTGTCCTCCTCTTCTGGGCCATCACACAGGTGAGCAAACACACTTGGTGCTGCCACCCTAAACTTCGCCCACACAAGTCCACTCACACCAGCTGCTCCCTCCCACACCAAGACCTCTTGCAGGCCTGGTTCACACTTGCTACCTCACATTTTGTCCTCCATTGGCTCACTTTCAATCACCTACATCAGAGCCAGAGGTAGCCTTGGCTACTGTCCTCCTCCCCAGGTGCCCAGGGCATCCACCTCTGACCCTCCTCCAGCTCACTGGCCGCCCTTTCTAAGCATCTGGGCCTGCCTCCCTCCCTTCTGCCAACCATGGAGAGGCCTTTTCTCTGGCATATGTTTGCTCCCTAGGCGACATGTCCAGGCTGGGGCTTAAACACAACTGCCCAGAATGCTGACAGCTCTCCAGTTTTCACCCTATTCCCAGCTGCTATTCATCCTGTACCTCTCCAAATCTAGCTGTCCCTCCACCAAGGCCTTCAGCTCTTGTTACCTTCCTAAGTTCTACTACCCTCAAGCAAGAAAGGAAGAAGTAGATGGCAGAGAGGGAAAAAAGCCTAAAAGCCCAGCACTAATTACAAAAAAATAGATCACAAGTTTAGGACAGAGCTAAGAAGGAGTATTTCTAAAAAATTTGAAGTTAATTTAATATTACTCTTAACATTCCAATGATTGACACTGATTTGCTGTAAAATCTGATTCATTTCTTGCATTTGCAGTGTTTTAATAAAAAAGACTTACCCTAAACAGTAACCCTGCCAAGCTCTGGGCAAACAAGTCCTTTATTTGTTTATCCTTTGGCTTCTGCATGACAGCTTCTGTTATCCTGAGTAGTATTTGCAACATCTGCTCCCTGGGCCACCCAAAATAAAAGCTCAGATTAATAATCTGAAGGACCACATCTCTGAAGGACCTTATAAGTAAGGGAAATACTTTTAAAGAACATCAACACTGATAATCATGTTATTCCAAAGTATTAAAAGTCTATATTATTCCATTTATATCACAAGTACCACATTTTATCAAAATAAGCTATTCTGTGTTGCAACAGTTCTACAAATATGCCTCCTGCATCCATGCCAACAGCCAAGACAAGAGTTCCCCACCTAGCCTGACTTCCCCTGCAGAAAGGATGGGAGATGGTGATGGGGCAGTGCCAGTACCTTAGAGATGCTGACCTCGGAGTGAACTCACACAGCATTCTTTAGTTTCCCACCCATGATTCTGCTTAATCTGGAGGCCTCCCTGTCGATCTTTGTGACAGAAAATGAGGCTGACTTTCTAGTCTTGGATCTGGAGACACCTGAAGTCAGCACCTCAGCACAACTGAGCTCTGTAGTCCTGGAGCAGGTCGAGGGCTGGAAAAGGGCACCTGGATGCTAACAGATACCTCGCCGGGGCCTGGAAGATCCTGATTGCAGCCTGATGCACAACTGTGCTACATGGTCAGGGCATTACAGTCACCATACACCAGCACTGTGGTCACCGAAAGCAGGGGCTCTACATGAAAGGTCTCTGAAGAGCATACAGCCCATGGAGACAACATAACACTGCTAGTTATGATAAGCAGTGGTTTAGGACAACAACAGGGTACTTTTCCTGCATAGAGCTGAGTTCTGTTCCTCTGCCCTAGTGTCTGCTCAGTCTTTCTTTCCTGGGTTCTGTGGGAACACAGCACACATGGCCTGTTGTGTGTCCTCCAAGGGGAAAGTGCTAGCACCTGGGCAGTTTCAAATACTGGCCCACTCAGCTTTATTGTTCTCCTCATTGGTGGTAAAAACCGATGACAGGATAGAATAAGCTGGTCAGGTTGGAGGAGCTCCCTAAATTCCAGCTCCTTTCTATTTCTCTCCCACCTCTGCTCTCACTATGAGGGAGGCAGCACCTCACTGACCTCTTCACAGCACAGTGGCTGCCCTCTTGGCAGCTGGCTGCTATCTCAGCCCTAGGCCCACATTCTGGACACTCTATTCCATGTGCTTTCTTATCCCTTCACATAGCCCAGGGATCCTGGAAATTCACGGGGGGGGGGGGGGGAATGTAATTGAGTCCCTGCAATGTGGGCACGACTCTGAAGAGAAGGATGGGAAGAAAGGGCAGTATGGGGCCAGCCTGTTGTTCTCCAGGCAGGGTACCCAGAGCCTGGTGGTACAGAAGATGGCAGTACCTGGTGTCACCACTGCCTGCTCATGTCACGTCATGCCTCAGACCAGAAGCCATCCCTAGTGCACTAGCAGCTGCATAGCCATCACGTGAGATGGTAAGAACCAGACACATCTGGGGTTTTGAACAACACCTCAGTAGAGGAGCTGCTATTAAAGGGCACAAGCTGGACTGACACAGGACCTGCAACAATACTGCACAGATCCTGAGTCTGGACCTCGGGGAATGTGGAGTGCAGGGAATTCCCATGTGGTGTCTCCCCCAGGTTGAAAAACCCTTTCCTAACACAAGAGGAGCACACAGAGTGACCAGCTACCAGTCTGGATCATGGCTGCTTCCTTCTGCTCCAAGACACACTAACTCTTGTCCAGTCCCCCTTGGAGAGCTGTGCTCACGGTCTGATAGGAAGGTGGGAGGAGTGCGGTGCTGGGATCCCCTGCACGTACATCTCCACTGCCTCACTCGAGCAGGATTTCTACTCATCCACATGTCTGACAGCCACTGTGTGAGGACCACTGCTTGGCAGCTCCCCACCACAGCTCTGCTGTGACCCACAGTCTCTCAGCCCCAGAAACTGTGCACACTGCCTTGTCTCTTCTCCACCTGGGGATCAGAGCGAGCTTCTGGGAACTCAAGCTGAGCTTTGCAACACTGGTGCAAAGACTGCTTTGGACACAGGTTGCCTCCTCCTGTACCCTGGTCCTGGCCTGCCCTACTTCCTGCTTCCCGTGCCCTCTCCCCGACTGCTGCCTCCTGGATATACCACCTTTGAGATTTTCCACCATGGGGGCTTCCGCCTCTGCTGCTCCTACAGGAAGGCTCCTGTGTGACCTGCCCATAGCTGCTCTCTCAGAAAGGCCTTCCCTGACACATGACTTGGGACTCTCCAGGCCTCCCCATTATTGCAGTTCCTCCTCACACCTAGAACTGCCTGAAGCTTATGTATTTACTATGATGAAGCTCTCCTGGGGAAGGGCCTTGTCTATCTAGCTCCCCACTGTACCCTCACAGGAGAGGCTCAGTAGTTATATACTGGATGGAAAGAAAGAGATGCACAGGGAAGAGAGGGAAGGAATGAGGAAGAGAGAGAGAGAAGACAACAATCATCTGGTACTTAACTATATCACATCTATCTGAGAAACAGGTCCTGCACCTTTCTATACTCTATTGACTATTTTTTTTACAAGTATTTACATCTATTTCCACAATTTGTCTTTTTATATTTTTACATTGAACTCTCTGAATTATTAAGAATAGAGCACAATTGCTCAATTTTATTTCCTAGAATTTTCACTGAAATAGGATTAGAAGCATGGTTTACAGAACTCACAGTTCTCATAGGAAAGGAACATAACCAGTACCACTGATACGGCGGTGGTCTGAGGAGCACGCCTCTCTGCTGGAAGACGCCAGCATTTCTCCTTGACCTTGACATTACTCATACGGCATTTAACTCTGTTTAACTGGTATTGCGCATCACTCTATTATTTCCAGTTTTAAGGACTGCTTAACTTGGCAAACAGTGCTAATTAAAAGGCCAGGAAAGATGACATTGAAATTTATAGTTTCAAGCTATTGTTTGGACACCTGTGATTTCTGAATTTGTGGACTTTTTGTAAGACAGGGCTCCTCAACACCTACCCATGACCTTTGAAAGGAAAAGGCTAGACTCGGTGACCTGCAGCTATTGCAGCCCAGGCTGCCTGGTTTCCTGCCTGCCCACCAAGTGCACACAGATTCCTGGTAAAGCACCATTCCCACTGGCTCCAGGGCACCCAGCAGATGGGGTGGCACTGGGGAAATTCCTGTGCAGAGTGATGCTGCCCCTACTGGTCTATAGTGGCCCCAGGGCTAGGAGCTGAGGCAGGAGAATACTGGGGGCTGCGGATGGACAGGTGGGTCAGAAGACAATGGCCAACAGGACAGACCTGAGCATTTTAAGGCAGAGCTGCCATGAAGGGAACAGGAAGGCGCAGGAAGCAACTGCAGGCTTTCTGGCCTGCTGCTGAGAACACAGCAACACCTAGCAAGATGGGGTGGTGTGTTCACAATTGTTATAGGACGAGGACAAGAAATATCTACCATACTGTCTACCATGAGGAAAATAACTAACAGAAAAACACAAAAAGAAAAAAAGGAAGAAAGGAAAAAAAAATCGTAGTTTTATGAAGACACTGAATTTTTTACTGCACTATTTAGTCATTTTTATAATTTATCATTTAAGAGAATTATTTTTCCAAAATGAATTTAAAACATCAAACTGAAGCACTAAAAATCAGTTTGCAGCATTTCAGGGTAATTAACCTCTCCTTGGCTTATGAACAATGATAGTATAAAACACCACACTGCTTATCCACAGAACTGTCTGATGACATTTAAAGAGGAAAAATCTACTATTAAGTAATATGACTACTTGGTTCGAGAGCATTTTAAAAAACAATAATGAAAATAAATGAACTACCAAGTATTGGGTACTTACCCTCTTCATAATTCAAAGAAACTGTTACAAAAGACTGACTATTGTCTTATTGTTAACTTCGTAAAACCATTAAGTAAATGGAAACTTTAACATTTTAATTATGTTGAAAAACAGAAACATGTTTTACAATATAATTTGAAACAAACTTACCATGTCTTTTTATTCATTGTAAGCTCCATTATCATACGCCTAAAAATAATCAAAACAGCTTTGCAAGCATCAACTTGCTCTTTCAAGAGCACAGGAACTTCAACACAAGGTTCCAGCAAAAATACATTTGCAGCATTTGTCAGAAATACCTGAAAATCAGTAGTTTTACATTAGAAAATATAACTCAACATATATATCTGAACAAATATTGCCTAAAGATAACGATGTTAATTTCTCCCCACCAACATACCTCTTTGGATTATTTTCACACCAATTCTCTTTCAGTGTGGCATCAGGCACTGATACATGGTTAACATATTTTTAGTTCACTCTTGACAATCACTTAAACATACCTGAAAACCTTTTCCAAAGGGAAAATTACTATTATGTATAAGTAGCACAACTTTAGAAATATGATTCATAAGAGATCTGAAGATTTCCTTCTGATGCCCTCTCAACAGAAAAAGGGTAAGAGGGAGAAGACTGATAGGATCTCGAATCTGGGTAGGAGGGGAGGGGAGGTGTGCATGGAGCCAAACAGAAGAACTCTGACAGAACTCTATCCCGAGTCTCTCCACCCGTGGACTACCTCTTCCCACTGGAGTGGGGCCATACCACCCAAGAGGCATAGGCCCTCAAGGAGCAGTGGTGTGATGGACAGACCTAGCCACACAGCCACATTGTTCACCTTCCAGGGGCATGTTTAATGGGAGAAACAGATGATGGTACAGTAGGATACAAAATCTAAGTGAATTCTTAACAGAAAACCAGGTTCTATAAAGGTTTAGATCATCAACTGACTATTCTATGCTCTGCCCTGGACCCTCAGGACCCACTGTCCTCTGCCAGCAAGAGAGCTGGGTGGGAAAATTTGAGACTTGCTTGACCGTAGCTCTCAGGCAGTAAGCTGCTACCTTGAATCACTACCATAAAGGAGCAGTGTGGGACCTATAAGGATGATACCAGCAGACATCAGCTTCAGGTATCCTGGGTCACCGATCTGATGAGGATGGGTCAGCTCCATCTATCTGGAGGGATGGTCCTATTATGGTTTATATCTAGATGTCCCCGAAGAGCCTCATGCACTCATACTGTGGGGCTTTGGGAAGGTGGCTGGATTATGGGGGCACTTGCTATTAGGAGGTGGGGTCAGGCAGAAAGGGTGGATCACTGAGGGCATGACCTGGAAGGATTTCTCTCCCTTCCCAGCTCCTCCCTTCACTCTCTGCTTCCTGTCTGCCATGAGGTGAACAGCTTTTCCTTTCCCATGCTCCTGGACCAAGCCATCTTGCCTTGGAGCCAGCAGTCCGGGACTGAAAACATGAGCCAAAATAAACCTCTCCACAGTTAAGGTGTGGGTGTCAGTTACTGTGACCCAACGATGAGAAAGGGACTACAGCAAAGCCTTCTTAGGTATCCTTGTGCTCAGCAGCATAAACAGAAAGCATGTGGTAGTAAACCTGGCATCTCTATCTCATTTATGGATCAAACTCAAAATTATTGCAAGGCTGACCCACAGAGTAAAATAAACATACTCAAAAGACAAGCACATAAACTAAAATGTTGATAACTTTTAAAGTTATATTCTGCAAGATTAAAAAGATATCATGTCACAATTTTCCAGGAAAGCTTGTAATTCCAGCACTTGGAAGGCTGAGGCAGGTGGATCACTGCAAGTTTGAGTCCAGCCTGGATTATATAGTGAGTTCAAGGTCAGCCTGAATTATAGAGCAAGATCCTGTCTCCAAAAAAACTAACAAAAAAAAATCCTCCGAAAAACAATTTTCCAGGGGGGGAAGATAACTAAATAATGACTATAATAGTTGCTAACAGGTGGTAGCATCAACAGTTACTGTCCTTTGAGTAGGAAAAAATGTAAAACACTTTTTAACTAACAAGTTAGAGTGGTCATAGTGTAGTTTCAGTAACAATCTTTTTTTTTTTTTTTTTTTTGGTACTGGGGATCAAACTCAGGTCCTTCACTTGCGCAGCAGGCAGCAAAACCACTGAACTAAATCTCCAGCCCTCAGTGACAATCTTTTTAAAAAGAGCACATCACAAATGATATACTGCAGGATAGATCCTTTTAAGTCAGTGTATTTGGCTTCTTGAATTTGAAACTTCCCAAGAAAAAGTAAGGAGTCTTCATTTATTGTACTTTTACTTTTTATAAAACAATAAAATGCCAACTGCGTGAATATTTATTACTTTATCGGTGTTAAGGCAAAATTAACAAAATTAATTTGTCTAAATTGTACTCATCAAAACCAACCACAGAAGAGTGTTTTCTCATCAAACCTCCATTTGGCCCCTTTTCCTACTAAACCAAGGAAAGGACCAAGGTACTGGATATAATAAGGAAAAAACCATTTCAATCCAAACTAAATGCTTTTTACAACTGTAGAGCTACCTGCTGATGGTAATCCACTTGGAAGGATGGAGTCACGAAGAGAAAAGGGCAGGGACTCCTCCAAGCATGTCTGTGATGGGGACACGGGCCCTACTTACAAGAGGCACCAAGGAGCTTTAAGCTGCATTAAGAAAAACTATCTTGATTTAAAAGTTAATTTCAAGTTATCTGACAATTTTTAAAGGAGAGAATTCGTGAGTATTGTTTAGTAAAATGCTAATAAGCTTGAAAATGAAAACCTACTATGATAATGAACCCTATTGAGAGACAGATGACAGAAGCCTGGCATTACTCAAAACTGGGGGACATATGTGCCATGTCCAGCTTTCCCCAGATCCTCACTTGGCTTCTACATGTGATGCCTAAATGGACACAACTATAAACTCAGAAGTGGGCTGGGATGAGGGCCAGGGAGCAGGGAATGAGAGGCATCCAGGCTTTCACTTATGTTCCTAACAAACCTTCAAGTTTGTGGGGCTGGAAAGAGAATCCTCCCATCCCTAGGTTTCAGCTAAAAGCCTGAGGTCTGGAGGGGTTAAGTAGCAAGCCAAAGTTGCTCTCTGCAATGCTCCCAATGGTATAGATTCTACTTTACCTATTAATTCAGACAAATATCACAAAACTATACATTAGTCATTACTTATGTGAAACAGGCAATTTTAAAGAGGAATATAACTTACAAGGTTATATAATCACCAAGTTTATCTTGCAAATTAGAATCCAAATCACTACTTGTATATGCTTAGAAGGTACTTTTGAGATTTAAATCTTAGACACTTCACATTCACTGTTTAATAATCCCTCTCAAAAAAACTCCAACCAGTTCTTAAGTCTTCTTTGACAAGAAAATAATCCTGACCAATTAATTACAGGTGGAAAATTAGAAAGAAACCTCAGAATGAGAAGGTAAGAGCTATCCCTGCCCCTGGGCCATGAGCACACCTGCAGCACAGCCTGGGACCCGGCCTTCACACTGGTGCTGTCCTCCTCAGCCACACACCCTCTGCTCATGGCGCTCGTGAAGGAATACGTGCGTCCCCAGCTGGAAGACCGCTTATGACCCGAACCATCCAAGGAGGCCTTCAGAAAACAACAATCTGTTAATATCATGGCAAGACTGTATTCACACACTGAACTCCTGATGTTCAGCAGAATGCACGAAAGAGGCTCCAAGAGCACAGACGTCTTCTGCTTGTTCACCTCTGCCACCAGCACCACAAGCTGGTATGTGCTGCAGGACTGGGTCACGTGTGCTTGGCACCTGGGAAGGATGGAACAGGCCTCAGACACACATGGAGCCTGTTTTCTTCCTTGTGCATTTTGACCTCATGACTAATTTTTAAAATAGCCTCTTAAGGCATACAGTTAAGAGTCTGAAACATTTTAAATTAATTCTAAGATAGGACACCAGGAATATAAATATACTTGTTTCTTTTGTGTTGCAGGAAGGTGTTCCACTCAGTCTATAGTTTTAGATTTACCCTACCTCCAGCCTTCCCTACCATGGACCTCAACCACCCCCACCCCTAACCCCACCCCCACCATGCAGTGGATACTGAGCTGCTAGCCTTAGTCCTTCCAAATGTTTAAACCTAGTTCCTTCTGATACAGTCTACTACACATGAAAAGTCTACCCAAACAGTTTAAATTTAGTTTCTCCAAAAGCTACTTGTTTAAAACAAAGAGAAGGCAGTGACTTTTGGTGTGTAAGTATGGTAGTTTATGAAACATCTCTCTGTGATAATGACTATCAAAGCTGTCGCATGCATGTGGCCCTTGTCTGAAGGTTAGGAGATGATGTCTCTCTGAGGCAGGCCTCCACTGAACTCAGCAACTTCAGAGCCCCAACAAAGGTAAGTAAAGCTCCACCTGCCTGTGTCTGAGCAGTGAGACCTCAGACCAAGTAGGGAGACTGTGCTAAAATGCATACACTCAACTCAAAGGGCAAGGGAGGGGCTTACCTCCTTGGCATCAATCTCTGAAACACCTAGTTTTTCAGCATCCTCTTGGGCAATGTTGTTTTTATCCGGCTCTTCCATGAACACAGGCTTTTCCTGGAGGATCCATTTTCTGTACACCTGAACTACTTTCCTAGTTATAGCTATCTCACAGGAAGGCAACAGAAATGCCTGAAAGGAAAAGGAAACTCGTTTAACCCCACACACTCTCAGATTGCGGAGCTGACACTTCTAATAATCATCAACTTCCAAAACAAGCGGCTTGCAAAAGCACTACACAAGGCCATGTGTTTATGTGTATACCCCATACCCAAAGAAAAAAGATGTTTTCATAACGGGGCCAGAAAACATGATGCTATTTAAAAGTAACTTTATGTTCTGAATTTTTCTCCAAAAACAACCAAGCTATAGCTATACTATACTATAGCTATATATTTTAACTGCCTATATGAAAGAACTGTAACTGCACAACCTGGCATTTCCCCAGGAAATCCAAAACAGTTTTTGAGATAATAGACAAGCTGCCACCCCCAGGGGCCCAGCTGTGCTGGCTCTTCTCAGCCGCAGTTTGGTGACATCACATGGCTTTTCATGGCCATGGTGGGAAAAGTTAGCAACTGTTCTAAGTCAGGGCTTTGCTAGGTTTTTTTTCTTTAGTTTTCCTTTTCCTTCCATTTCTTTTCCTTCCCTCCTTCACTTATTTTTTCCTCCCTTCCTTCTTCCCCCTCTTCCTTCCCTTCTTTCTTTTGAGGCAGCTTTCAATGTGCATCAGAACACCACTAAGGACAGACACCAATGTTAAGTGGAGCCACTGGCCCTGAGCAGCACTGTGCATATTTGCAGGAACTTTTTATCATTAAAGAACTCCCTACATATTTGCACACAAGACTTTTTTCATGTACTATGATAAGATTCTAAAAATGTAAACAAGAATTTAAAGGAGAGATGCATTTGCCTTTTGCTTTCCAGGTTTAAGGACGATTTCTGTGTGCAAGGTGGGCAAGAAAGACAAGTACTACACACTCAATGGATGGCTGCTTTAATGCCACAGACAAGGACACTGAGCCTCAGAGCACAGGAGCTATTTTCCACGGTTACAAAGCTGGTTATCTACAAATGCAGGTTTACTGATCTCAAGGTTCTGAGACTTTTAAAAATGCTGGTCTTAAGGCTCACACCAGAGTACTCAGTTATAGGTAGATGACACCTTGACACAGGTGCAGGCTATCTGTAAATTTCCAACTATGATGGCCATATCATCAAATTCCAGGACAGAGGAATCTGTGTTATGAGAAGATTACAGTGTATCAGTGTGTTAATATTCTCATATTAAAAGCAAAAATCATAGCCAGCTGTGGTGGTGCATGCCTATAATCCTAGCACTCTGGGAGGCTGAGGCAGGAGGATGTCAAAGCCCAGCTTGGGCAAATTGGCAACTTAGCAAGGCCCTGTCACAAAATACAACAAGGGCTGGGGATGTAGGCCCTGGGTCTAATCTATAGTACCACTAAAATAATTAATTAATTAAAACAAAACCAAAATTGTTTGTACAGTCTGGTTAATATGATATATAACATATTAATTTAAAAATTAGTAAAATGAAAAGTCAGTTTGACCAAAACTATGATTTAAAAAAAATAGACAATGGTATAAACATATATATAGATAATAGGAGTATCAAAAACTAAAGTACATAAAATTTTTAAAATACAAATTAAAAACTCAATGTATATGGGTTGGATAGAATGGATATAGCTAAGAGAAAACTAGAAGAACCATCAGAGGAAAATATCTAGAATGAAAGAGGGAATGGGCTGGGAGTGCAGCTCATTGTGGGAGTACCTGCCTAGCATGCCCAAGGCCCTGGGTTCCATCCCAGCAGACAGGAAGTGAGTATGGGGCCGTGGGAGAGTACAAAAGGATAAATAAATAAGAACTGGTAAGAGAAAAAACACAATGAAAAGATTATCCTATGCATGGTTGGAGATGCAGAAGGAAAGACAAGGAGGACAGAAACAATATTTGAAGAAAAAATGGCTGAGAATCTTGCAAAATTGATAAAAGATGTAAATCTACAGATTTCAGAATCATTAAGAAAGACAAGCAGGATAAATACAAAGTCCATTACAGTAAAACCTTTGAGAACCAAAGATAACCAGAAAATCTGGAAAGCAGTCAGAAGAGGAAAGTCCCATTTCCTCCAAAGGAGGCACCACTTGACTCAGCATGATATCTCACAAGGAAGCAGTGACACAGAACTGGGATCAGCAAAGTGCAGACAGTTGCTGCTGCAGAATCCAACACTCAGAAAGGATACACTTCAAAAATGAAACGTAGATGTCTCCAGAAGGAACTGGTGACCAAGAGAGTTAAACTAGGAGAAATACTAAAAACTATCCTTCCAGTAAAATGAAAATTATTGTAGGTCATATACTTGGGAAGAAATAAACGTAACAGAATTTTTCAAAATCTAAATGAAGCACATATATGGCTATATGAAAGATATGGTAGGGCGGGGATTTAGTTCAGTGGTGCTGCCTGCCTTGAAAGCCCAAGGTCCCGAGTTTGATCCCTGGTACCAAAAACAAAAAAGATATGGTATATACATATTACATATGCTGATAATATATTCAAATACATAATAAAAAGTAGAAAGGAATAAATGGGCTAATGTGTGTAAGTTGAAATTAATATTAGATTTTAAGTTAGGGAAACATGTAAACCATTTGAAGTTTTTCTGTCTCTGACTTGTATGTGTAGAAAGGGTGCGGAACAAGTAACCCAAGATTGTTATACCTAGCTAATCACGTGCAAAGGCAAAAGGAAAACTTTCACCATCTTAAAGGAACTTGAGGAAGAGAGTTCCAGGGTGCCCTACTGAAAATATTCAATGACAAAGCCAGCCAGAGCTGTGGTCAGGGCTGCAGAACCAAGAAGAATGACTGCTAAACACAGAAGCAAGACCAAACAACTCAGGATTTATCATTCCAAAATCAATTCCAGATGATGGTACACTTATAAGTTTAAGATAAAATTAACAAATGAAGAGAAGAAGCTGAAAAAATACAAGACTGCTAGTTTCTTTTTATATTTCACAGCAGGAAATCAACAATGCTACCTAAAATTATAACGTGGTTAAAAAATTATTTCAAGACCTTAATACTATAATAATCTTTTTAATTACCGACAAATCTTTTAACAATATTTCTTGCGTAAAAAGAACATTTATTTGAATTTCAACAATTCCTTGTTTTGCTTTATTTTCTTCTATTAAATTTAAGTAAAATAAAGTTCAGAACTATTATTAAAGATGTATTAAAGATACATTAAAGGATTCATTAGGAATTAAAGATGCTATTTTCATGAAGTTATTTTCCCAGCCCCTGGCACTTTTTCTTATCTACCCTTGTCTCCACCTGGGTTGACCTGTCTGGCTTCTCATCACTGTCTCTGCCTGTCTTTGCCTGCCTGTCTATACTTGCTGATTCCTATCTCTATCACCCCACCTGCTTACTTCCATCTCTACCAGCTGGCCTATCTATGCATCCTAAGCATCCATTCTACACCTGACATCCAGTTCATTCATGCCTATCAGCTCATCTGAGATCATCCTGTTGTCTGCCAGCTGCTTTCTGTCTGTTTGCATGTAGGTGTCGCATCTACCTAGCTGGCCAAGCTGGCAGGCATATACACACATAGAAATACCTGGAATGATGCTCCTCTAACATCAGTGGTGGTTGTACAGATGGCAATGTTTTATGTAATTTGTTTTTACTTTCTCTTTCACAATTAGAGACAGAATGAGTTTATCTAATGAACATATTTTTAATAAAATTTTCTTTAAAATAAAAGCAACCACCAAAAAAATAAATAAAAAATAAAAAAATAAATAAAAGCAACCAATAAACAAAACAATCCAAAGAATAGACATGGTTTCAAAAAGTGCTTCAGACTGCTCAGATTGTGAGGCATGAGACAGAGGATATATGCATCTGTAGAGAGCATTATACAAATAAACCAGGAATTTCACAAGGAATACTAATCCTTACAACATGAAGGATACTTTGTTGATATGTCCTATTTTATTCCCTCATTATCTAAATACAAAGGCCAGTTTGGATTCAGTAAGCTGATTTTATGACCTATTCAAATGGGCGCCTGGGCAGTCTGAAAAGCTCCAGTGAAAAGACCCAGTTCCAGCGGCACTCCAAGGACCAGAATAGCCTCCATTAACACATTCCACCACTGCCTGCTTCCTGCTACAGTCCATAATTGGCTAGCTCCAAGGCAGGGTGGCATACGGCAGAGGGGGAACCGTTCATGGAACAGTTCATGACGGCAGAAGACAGCCAAGGCAACAAGAGAACCAACAAAGTGACTTTAATAGAGTCTTTCTTCCCCTTTTATCTCATTCAGACTACTTAGGGCAGATGGTACCCACACCCTTAATCCTAGTGCCCCTGAGCCTAGCATTGCACCATGAATCAATCCCAGAGTCACACATTCTGGATCTAGCTACCTCAGAAAAATCCCCATCTCTGATTATATGAGACTTTGAAGGAACATCTAGACACAAGCCATAACAGACCCCAAATCAACTTTGCTTCACTTCATATTAACTGATCTCAGTTAATTTGTTAGAGTAATGAAAAACTCACTAATACAAACATGAACAAAACCCTCTAATTTCATGCACTTGTAAGGTGTGTAGTCGCATGCGTGCAGACACACACACACACACACACACACACACACACTAACCTGGCGAAATACTTCATTCACAAAATTGACGTAACCGCGTGTGGACAGGAGGATTTGCCGCACCATTCCATACACTGTCCGGTGTTCTTCTTCGATGCTGCAGAGGCTAGAGCTGCTGAGTCTCCGCTCAGACAGGGCGCTGCTGTTAGAATAGCCCTTCTCTTGCTCCAGAGGCCCACTGCCATCCAGCTCCGGTACCCTCTCTGGCTCTGCACCACCACCAACAGTCTGCAAGAGGTCAGCACACTTTTCAGTGCCCACATTCCTGCTCAAGAGCCCTCACAAGCCTAGGTCTTCCCTAATCTTTGGGTTTTGTAGGGTTTTTTGTTTTTGTTGGTTTCTCTTTTGTTTTGTTTTTTGTTTTTTTGGTACCAGGGATCAAACTCAGGGACCTTGCGCTTGGGAGGCAGGTGGTGGAACCACTGAGCTAAATTTCCGGCCCTGGTTTCTCTTTTATGCTGGGGATTGAACCCAGGGCCTCACACATGCTAAGCATGTGCTTGACCACAGAGCTACACCCAAGCCCCAGGTCCTGCCTTGTTTTAAAGCATTTTGCTCAGCACCAGTCTCCACAAGGTCAACCTAGAGCCTGCCCTCACCAGGCTTCTACCTGACCATCAACTCCTGCCCCAGCTCAGTTATTTTAACAGGAAAACTACAAAGTCATTTCAGGGAAAGGGACTGTGAAATTTCATTACCCCAAAAGTTTAATTTGCATTTGTGGTATCTCAGTATGAGTTAATGTGCAAATACACATGTATTACCATCACATTAATTCTACACTTGTACATTTACTCTGTGGTCACAGGGATGTAAAAATGTGGGGGACACATGTAGGAGACATGAGAGACACAAAACCTACACGGCACCTTGATATGGAGTGCCAAGGTCTTTACTGGTACTTCATGAGAAGAATCTGGATCTGGGCTTTATCCTGTCTTAGGCCAAACTTAACTAAAATATTTACAGAACTAAATATTTAGAAGGCTTTGGGAGTAAAAGAAATAAAGAAATTCATGCAATGACTCACAAAGCTTAATACTGATTTCTGCTCTCATTTCTCTACACAATTAAGGTTCCTTCAAACTAATGTATGTATAACTCTGCTTCTTCTAAGCTTCATTTTACTTTTTAATGTCAGAAATATATAACCCAAATATCACTGTATTTTATCAACTGGGAATATTTTTTATAAGACATGATAAGATATGAGCAGTATAAAACAGTAATTTTAGTAACCACCAAGATGTTATGAAAACAAAACAGATATCCCATTGTAATTCTAGGGAAAATTAATAGAAGGTTATATTTGTAATAATTTTTCTACTCTTGCCTTAGCAACTAAGCCTGCGTGGCTTATCAAAGGCACTGTCACACTCTGAGACATGGCATCCTGTAGAATCCATTTCATCTCTTTGACAGATTCACTGTATTACACAGAAAATAAAAGTGCACTCATTTTATCCTTCTTTATCTAGAGATTCAGCCAGAATGACCCTAGGTTGTGATGAGTACGGTACAAAAAGGAAGCCCCAGACAGGTACCAAAAGTCTTGCTTCTAACCCTGTCAGGCAAGTCACTTTGATTTCATGTATTTTTTAAATTTAATTTTTAATCTAGAGAACATGGAGGTTGGATTACACTTGTATGTCATTTGTGGCTCAATAACCTGTGACTTCTGGGCTGGTAGTTCCCATTTTCTCCACGGGCTTGAAAGAAGACAGCATGCACATGTGTAACAAATTAAAGACAGCACCAATTCTCAGTCCTCTCTCTGGAACAAGGTGTGGAAAACACACTGCTTGCACACTGGCTTCACCAGCAGATGCATTTGCACTACTGTCACCTGTGCTCTGTGGTTCCCCCCCACACACCCCCCGCTCTGTGTGGACTGTGCCAGTGTCAAGCACATGCCCAAGAGGCTGATGGTCAGCACTTCCCATCTTGGGGCCCACAGCAGCCAAAGGTCCACTCATCCCAAGAAAAATGGCCTGGAAAAGAGCCCTGGCTGGGTCCAGCCTCCTTCCCACTGGAGAGCAGGAGGAGATGTGCGAATGAAGCCATCTTAGATCCTTCAGACCAAAGCCAGCCAGCCAAAGATTGCCACGCTGTGACCCCAGACAATGCCACTTGCCCCACACAGAAGGAAAGCCAAATCCTACCCATATGCCTGACTCAAAAAGTGAAAATTAATAACAGGACAAAAGGTTGCTACACTAAGCCACTAGTTTTAAGGTGATTTGTAGTACAGTGATATACTAAAATAACATACATAAAGAATTATGTTTAAAGATACCAAGTTAAGTCACTTAAAACTTAGCTTACTAGTTGGGTATAGTGCTGCATGTCTATAATCCCAGCACTAAGGAGGCTGGGGCAGAAAGACTGCTGAAAGTTCAAGGCCATCTTGGGCTACATAGTGAGTTTAAGCCAGCCTGACCTACATATGAGACCCTGTCTCAAAATTAAAAAAAAAAAATTAAGCTCAGTAAATAAAACAATGGTAACATAGGGGGATTTCCCATCATGTCATAAAATAAAAGTTTTTCTTAATAAAATGATGTGTTTCTTGGCCTTGTCTAGTCCGCACTTCCCTTTATATATAAAAAGTTACTTTCTAAAAGTATCTATATAGTTTGAGAAACATTCATAATTTCAGTAAGGGATGAGGTTAAAAACAAACTGAATATGCAATTTATGTCAATCAGCTTCCCATCGCTGCAACACAATACCTGATACCTGCAACTTAAAGGAGGAGAGGTTTACTTTGGCTCATGGTTTCAGAGGTTTTCAGTCCATTGTCAGGTGGCTCGTGGACGAAAGCTGTTCACTTCATGGCATCCAGGATGCAGAGCACGGGAAGAGGCCAGAGAGGAAGGACCAAGGACCAGACAAAGTCCCTAAAGTCATGTCCCATGACCCACTTAAAGACACCCAAAAGTGTGTTTTACTAATCTAAGCATCTCTCAAACATGATTAACTATCACACAAGTCCATTTACTTTTTGCCTTCTTAAAAAAAGATTAACACAAACAGCAAGCATGAAAGAGAATTAGCTCCAGAGAAGGGTCCATTTTCTGTCCCCTAGAATCAGGCTGGAATTCTCAACTGTTACTTTGAGTGAGTTGAGTCTGATAGTCAAGGCAAAGATGACATTTACTTTTTGGCATGTGAAGAAGACTTAATTGGTGAAATAAACATATCTATTTGGACCAGGCCAGCACTACCAGGGCTCAGGAAACAGAATGCTATAGGTTGTCACCCACTCCTTCCCGCCAGCCCTCCCTGCCCTCACAATGTCCTCTGGTCTCCTAGAGGCCCACAGCTCACTCGAATTCTTCACTCGAGTTCAAGCTAAATGATATCACCTACAAAGAAAAGTTCACAAGAGGACCTGGCAAGGCTGATGCCACTCATGCCACTCAATTCCTTGGTGCTGATCTGCCTACATGGTTGGGGCAGTCTGTCTTTGCCTTTGTAGACCTTAAAAACAACAGAGACCATGAGTCCACAAACAACTGGAAAGTTTTCAGTTTGTGAAATTCACTTTCCTAAATGTTCAGCTCATGAAATATAATCTCAGGAAGCCAAAACCTATCGGCCATGAGGAAGGGCCAACTCAGAAATGGTCAAAGTGCTATTTCCTAATTTCACTAAAGAGCTACCAAACAAATCAATAGGATCAACTCCCTGCTGTCTCAAACTTTCTTTTTCATTTTCTAGTTGACTTCTTTGGGCCCTGCACAAGAAGAGCTCTCTCTGAAGGGCTTTCTTCCCTTCTAGGGACTCTGTCACAAATGTTCCCAAGTCCTGAGCTGCTGACCCATTCCCTCCCGTAGAAGCCAGAGGGCACTGGGCAGCACAAGTCCTCTGGGGCCACCTGCAGTATCCTGAGGGCCTCCAGGTGCTGGTGACAGGCAAAGGCAAGAAGCCAGCCCATAGTGCTCCAGCTCAGAGGTCACTGGTACAGGTATAGAGGAGCAAGAAGGAGGGCAAGAGGAGGCTGTGCATGCAGCCACCTCTCATAGTGGCCCTCGCCAAGACCACTGGGTCATGGTAATGTCAGTTGCCTCACACCTTCTCTGAAGTCAGTGTCACAGACAGTGCAGGACAGTGACACCACTCCCTAGGATCAGCAGCACTGCCTGCCAACTGAGAAGCGACTGCCTTGGGTAGTATTAATGTGCTGTTGTATAAGGGTTCCAGTATTTACAAAAGGGAAAAATCGCATACCTGAATAATTTTAGGCAACACATCAACTCCATTTTTAGTGCTTTGTGTTGCAGTTAGATACTTTTCCAAAAAGAAAGTTACAATCCACTTAATAAAAACAACACGAGCTGCCATGTATGGAATTTTTGTGCTGTAAATGCTCTCACTGTCTCGAGTTGTAGTAATGTACAGGGGCTTTGGTCTCCAATGGGGGATGTCTGGAAAAAAACAGGAATAAATGAGTGATTAGGTTAGTGAATGTAAACACAGTGACATGTAGCCCCAGCAAATGTTTCAGTTTCCACTGAAATAAACATATACTGATTGTCTGAATAGCAAACTAAGAATGAAGACCCAGAAATGATTAAAAACAGCATTTCTGGCAGCTTGTTTCTGACTGGCCTTGTAATCTAACCAACAAGAGGAGGCTGCTACTGTTTACATGTAGCTGTGGGAAAACTAGGCCAGCAGCTCTTTTCAACAATTTGGAAAATTACATGAAACTATAATAGTGAAGATATCTTCACATATACTATACCTAACTTAACCTTTATTTTACAACTGGAACAAATGTAAAAGTATACATGAAGCTTAAAAAATCATTTTCAATATTATAATATCTAACACTGCAATGATTAAACCCCCTGAATGTTACTTTTATATCCTTTTCCCTTTAGATGAATCCAAGGAAACGCAATCAACATAATCTTTTTCTCTAGAATTCAGAAGCCAGGTTTCATCTTTGAGATATCAGGTGCCACCTTACCAAAGGATTAGCAAGGAGGTCTATTTCTTATTCATTAAATTCCACCATCAATATGAAAACTGTATGGTATTGGGTCTGAAACGCTACTTGCCATACATCCAACTCTCTATCTCAATTAAGTTTTATATACCTGGAGTATCTGCATGAGGTAGAAAAGTTCTCAATAAATGACTTTTAACCTAGTAATATAACGATGTACCATGTTTTTAAAATGAATATACTATCTACAAGATCAGAAACAATTTTTGAAAAAATACCCACATAATCAGCTTAAAAATATATACATTCTAGCACCCTTAAAAGTCAGTACTTATGCACCAGGCATCAGCTACTCTCCTGAGCCTCTGTGTGTGTGTGAATGTGTGTGCATGTGTGTGCGCCTTTGTCCCTTGACTTTTCACCTTCAAAACTGTTCTTAATGTTTCATTTGAACTAATTTTATCTGCTTTAGGTAACAGGGAGAAGACTGGGCTCTCAGACCACTTTTGCCACTCTAAGGGATACTTCTGCTGTGCAAATCCTCATTTCTTTTTGGTTTGGTTTGAGTTTTGAGACAGGGTCTTCCCAGGCAGTTCAGGCTAGCTTGGACTCACTATGTAGCCAGGCTGCCCTTGAACTTGTGGCAGTCCTGCATCAGCCTCCTGAGTGTTGGGATTATAGGCATGCGTCACCACATCCATCGAGTCCTCATTTCTTATAGAAGGAAAACTTGAGGAGCTAAGTTAGAAATTCCTTTTGTATATGTAAATATAATTATACAAAAAATATGATACATTTTAAATGATTTCTGAGTACGGGAGCCATGGTTACCCTTTACCGCTCAGACATGAGGTTTATATTGGTGGACATACATAATTAAAATCACTTATTAGGAAATATTAAATCTCTTACAATACAGCCACCACCAATACAAGAACAAAGTGACTATTTTACTTTAAAATAATCAAAGGGGTCACTATGAAAGAGACTGTGCAGCTTTCCTGTGGATGTCGCCTACACACAGCTCAGACAGTACTTACCAAGTACAGGTTTGTAGATGTTTGTTAACTTAGTAAATGATGGAAATAAATGAGGAAGATAATACTTTCGAAACAATGTAAAAAGAAATTTAAAACCAGTATCTTGATTTTCCTTATTCTTCCACTCCAAGCTTGCAGCCTTTGGATAATATGTGGAAAAGAACATATGTATATTTATACTTCAAATTAACATATATGAAAATGAAATGCTGTTATGATTAAAATTTCTATCCTAAGCTTTAAGAAATGACAACTAATACTGACAATCATGTAATAAAATCATAGTTTAACAAAGCTCAGAAGATGACAAGAACGGATTTTTGAAAAGAAATGTGGTATCATATATTTTCAAACTTGCTCTACTACATAATGCCCATATTTTTTCCATGCGTTCTTTGTAATGATTAAACATTCCTTGTGTCTTAAAAAAATTTAATCAGAAAAAATCAGGTACTTTTTTCTCTCAATTCAAAATGGCCGTTTATAAATAAAGGAGTGAAAGAAACAAGTACTCTCCATGATTTCATCCAATGTTATCTAAATACACAATCAACATTAAAAGGAAAAAGTTACAGAATCATCATTCATGAGACCACACTTTCCTCATTAAGAGCAACTCACAGGCTCTGGTAAACCCAGCCTGTCAGTCCAGCTGCACGTTAAGTTTAAAGTTTTCACAGTGCTGAAATAACATTCTGTCCTTCAAAAGCCCACACAGTGGGAGCACCCCAAAGCAGTTCAACAGCTGGTGGTACCCCTAGAACCCAAGGACAACCTGTGACAGAGGCACAGTCACTCCCATATTACTGAGGGAACAATGGCACAGGGGCTTAGGGAGGACCTATCAGTGGCTCTGAACACTTGTTAGACCAAAGCAGAGCTTCCTGCCTGCTTCATGATAAGCCCACACAGGAAACCACAGCACCTGAGGTCAAGAGATGAGTGCTTTGGCCACCCCAGGGCAGAGGCTCACAGCATCCATGACCTGTCAGAGGCTACGCTTTGATGACTCACCACAACAGACAGGAGGGAAGGCAAGAGGGAGGTACAGACATGCACAGAACTCACTGTACACAATGGGGGGGGGTGGGTTCTGGGGGTTGGGAGGGTGTGTATAATGGCTTAGACCTAGAATGTCCCCCAAAAGTCTCCTACATTCAGGGATGGGGCTTTTGGAAGGTTTCTGGATCATGGGAGCACTGTACTCATCACTGCACTGATCCATTGACAAGTGCATAGCTAAATGTGCTATTAGGAGGTGGAGCCTGGCCAGAAGAAGTATATCAGTGGGATGTACCTTTGAAGGGCACACCTCCCTCCCCAGCTCCTCCCCTCTCTCCTTTCTGGCTGCCAAAGGGTGAGCAGCTTTCTTCCATGATACTACACCCTTCCGCCATGATGTTGCTATCCATAGTCTGAATCCCCTGAACCACGAGCTGTGTTTAAGTTGTGGGTATCAGGTATTGTGTCCAGCAATGGGAAAGCTGACTAATACAGGAGGTTCAGTGTGTGTACAAACCCTTACTCTACATCAATGCCATACACCAATGCCATCAATGCCACTGGGGGAGTCATGTGACTTATGTGAAGTCATACAACTCATGAGTGCCACATCCAGAATGAGAACCCAACACATCCAAGCTCTGTGCTGAGTTTTGGGGACAAATGGAATGCCCAATCACTTCTGAGCAGGTGGCACTGCAGAGAATGGAGAACAGGAGTACAGCCTACAGAAAGAGGCAGAATTCCCTCATTGGGCTCTCAGGATTCTGAAATCCTTGTGTTCCTGGTGCTGGCTAAAGGAAATGGGGAAGGGTAGATTTCCCAACAAAACTGCATAGTCTTGCCGGGGATTTAGCTCAGTGGTTTTGCCGCCTGCTGCGTAAGCGCAAGGACCCGAGTTCGATCCCCAGTACCAAACAAAACAAAACAAAACAAAGCTGCATAGTCTTGCAGGGATTTAGCTCAATGGTTTCACCACCTGCTGTGCAAGCTCAAGGACCCGAGTTTGATCCCCAGTACCAAAAAAAACCAAAAAACAAAAAACTGCATAGTCAGAAAGCAGCCAAGTACCAAATCTTGGGAAACAGCAGAGAAAAGCACAGATCCCCAAAGAAAAGTAGAAAAATGGAATGGAGGGGAAAGGGGAGGAAAGAGAAATGGGAAAATCCCACAAAGGGGTAGTTAGGTCAAATCACCTCAAAGAATGAGTAGAGCAAAACCTGAAGCATGCCCTCCCTCCAGATGGACCCCCAGACCCACCATGGCCTGGAGCCCAGTGTTGTAGCTGTGACAGGGCAGAAGGCAGGGCACAGTGGGTGTCAAGGAATGTTGGTCAAGGAAGCAGGCGTGGCAAAGAGGAGATGGATTTAACACCCTAGCTAGGAAGCAAAGGACAGGGACAGGACCCACCCAGGAGGGATCCAAGGGTAAGATAAGTGTCCCCTGAGAAACAGGAATCGGTAGTTTACCCTAACCTTGCTAAAATTTACAAGTTCAGATCAAGTGACATAAAGCACCTGGTAACGTTATCAATCAATGGTTTCAGTTCTGTGTGCCACTGGGGAGCCCAGAAAAGCACTGTCCTGAGTGAAGTGGCTGTGCTCAGGGGCTCCTAACTCCCAGCTCCCAGTCCACTGCTCAGCCCTGGGGAGAGGGGGCTGCCTCATCTTGCCCTGTCCCACTGGTGTGGACACAAGGGGCCAGGAAAGGATAAAGAAGGAGAAGTAGTTCAGGCACACTCATGTAAAACAGTACATGTGCTTGATCTTGCTGATGTGATCTAACCCACTCTCAGTCTGTGAACATCATCTGCAATCACCTCAAAGAAAAAATACAGAGACACAGAAGAAAAGAGGTGATATTTTCTCCTTCCTCCTGGGAACCAGCCCTTCACTGCAATAGCTAACAGTTTTTCTCTGACCTGAATTACCGTATACTTCAACAGTATCTGAAGGAAAAAGCAAGTTTGGTCCTCTGCAGTCTTCTCCCCTGATATGGCTGGCAGGAGTGGAGTGATTTCTTCTGGATATATCTTTGCTGCAGGTTGGAAAATAAGGAGAGCTCTTTCACTGAAGTTCAATTTAAGCAGTGTTTATTTAGGGTTTTAAAAAAATGGTCTCTATGAAGACACAGGTGTCACCCAGTGGATGTCTCACATTAACTTCAAGCTGGCGTGCATGAAGGGCCTAGAGTAGCAGGCCAGGGAGCCCCCATCCCACTGGCTGCTCCTTCCCTTTCAAATTCTGCTTCTGGCAGTCAAGACCAAATCCCAGCTGTGGGCAATAATGTGATGTGCAGCAACAAACCATGGCCCTACAGGAGAGTCCATGAAGACTCAGGGACATGAATGTCCTGATGAGGCCTCTGCTGATCTGCTACAAATGCCGCATGGAATGCACAGCTGGCAAATGAAGATGAATGCCCACTTCTGGAAGGAACCACAGTGCTGAAAACAGCAGCAACAGCACTGATAACAGGTTGAAATCTCAGTGGAAGACACAAAAGCACTTAGACATACCATGTGTCTACTTCCTGCCACTCCAACATCTGGCCCTCCCTGCCGTTCCCACTTCCACCACTTCAATAAATTCCTCCATTTCATATATAAAATAATCTCCAAGTCTGCTGAGCCTAAGGTTTGTAAGCATCTACTGGGAATAATTCCTCTTCAGACATTATCAGGATTTCTATTCAAGAAAATGAAAGATGTAAGTTCAAGAGTGGTTCCCACATGAGACCTTCGCACGCTGCTTACCATCAGCTACACTAGGACTGGGATTGATGAGGGTCTCCAGTGTGCAGGGCCCCCTGGAGGACAAGATGGCTGGGAAACCAGGCACGAGGCAAGCGAAAATCAGCACCTGCTCTTCTGCACAGTTTGTCTGAAGTGCTTGAAGCCACAAAAGAAACAGTCTGATTCCTTCACATCTTATCTAAAAACAAAGTGAAAATGTATTTGTAGAAAGGCACTATAATATACCTCAGTCTTGAGAAACCAAAGCTTGCTGGGTGTGGTGGTGCATGCCTATAATTTCAACACTTGAGAGGCTTAGGCAGGAGGATCACGAGTTCAAGGCCAGTCTGGTCTACATAGTGAGTTCAAGGCCAGCCTGGACAGCATGAGATCCTGTCTCAAAAAAGAAAAGAGCGAGGCTAGAGGTCAAAGACATTGGAGTACCACACCAGGTTTGTCCCTCAGTGACAAACGGCCAGGTGCTGCAGGACAGCACAAAGATTAACAGCCTGCATTTTGGAGTCAAGAGGGCCTGGGTTCAAATTCAGCCTCTGCCACTTCCTAGCTATGACTCACAGGGAACCACTTAACTTCTCCAGGCTTTAGTCTCTCTTCCTATAAAAATAGGAACAGTAGTTTCTACCACAAAGGACCATTACAAGGATTGAGTGATACATAAGGCACACAAAGCACTGTCTGGCTCCTGTTGTACACTGTGTATTTACTATTAATAGTATTTCATTCTGTAACCCTCAGTGCTCAACTAACCATGAAAACAACAAATATAATCTCCCTGAAAATTTACACTGTGCTTCTTATAGAATCTTGGTCATGTCTCCAACGTGCTGCTGTAGACCTGGCTCAATATCCTGTCTACTTGCACCTGCTCTGCAAGGTTAGCATCATCTAGGAGGAAACATCAACACAGGCAGATGTGTCCTTTTTTTTCTTCTGTCCTTACTTCCAACTCCAACCTATGGCTAGAATCCAAAGCACTCATCTCTCCATTCCTGTATTTCTAAGTGGTTGAAAAGATGATGTTCATAAGAGAAGCTATGTAAGTAAATGAGAATGGAAAATGTGTAAGATGTAGTGAACTCCAAATCCAGATGGTTGTACCGGCTGCCGATTGCCTCAGTTAACTCAAAGTGGCAATGGTTCCTCCACAGTTAGGGCTGCGAGCCAGACTCAGGCTCTGCAGGAAAACGAGGCAGCAGAAAACAGGAGGTACACATAAGCGTGTGCGCACGCACACACACACACACACACACACGTATGCACACATATGTGTGCACACATGTATGGAAAGACTTTGATGCCCCAGTTGGCCACAGTGCTACTCCATTAACTGAGTGGGTACACAGTGTGCTCCCAGATATGGCCCTGGACCCCATCACTGCTCAGCACAAACCCTCATGTGCACCCACCCCACTAGCAGGAAAATGAGTGGTAATGCTGAGTACCTAACATAACTCAGCTAGCAGACAAAAATGATGCCATTCTTTCTCTGTATATAATCAAACAATACTTCACAAGAGGAAAGTATCTACTGAATTCTATCACAAGTTTTCAACTGTTTATGTTAACTGGATTTAAGATAACTACATAGAAATAAGGCTAACAATAAAAAACAACCTAATGGTGTTGTTGTTGTTGTTGTTTTGAGACAGGGTCTCTCTATGTAGCTCATCCTGGCCTTGAACTCATTATATAGCCCAGGGTGGCCTCAGGCTTGAGGCAATCTTCCTGCTTCAGCCTCCTAAATGCTGAGATTACAGACATGTGCTACCATGCTTGGTTCTAATAGCTTAACTATAAGATTATTCCTTTAAAAAGAGAGGGTAAAACATGGAATCTACAGTCGCTACAGAGGTAAGGAATAGTGTTTCTTTTACTCAATATGTAACAGGAAGTTAACATAACAAATTATTATTTTTTGTGTGTGTGGTACTGGGGATCAAACTCAGGACCTTGCACTTGCCAGGCAGGCGTGGCACCACTGAGCTATATCCCCAGCCCTAACCAAATTTTAAGTGGCTGGCATGGTTTAAAGTGGTATAAAACCAAAAATGCATTAGCTTATTAAAGGCACACACACAACTAAATTAGCTATAATGAATGGTCTCCCATGAGATACTCATCCCAGGCGGGCTTCAATCTGCAGGTCGTGTTTTGGGATCATCTTATCCCAGCTCCGGTTACATACATTATACAAAGTATTCTTTTTTTCAGACAAGCTAATTTTAACCTAATTCCATTATCAATCTGCTGCAAGTGAATAAATGCTTAAGACTGAGGCTCTGTTGCTCTTTTCTCCCACAATGATCCTCAAAATTGGCAAACTAAATTCAAAGATAACTGTAATTGTGACCACCAGATTGCTGTGTGGGAAGAACTAGGCTCTCATCAGTGCTGACACTTGGAGTGTCATGGAGTGCTGACACATGGAGTGTCACCCTCCCTTTCATATGACAAACTGGACTGGCCACCACCTGGCCTGGGTCCTCAGCTGCCTGCCACAGGAGCACAGTGAGAACTCACAGTGAGAACTGTGGAGCACCAAGCTCCACAGCCCAAGCCACTTTCTCCTACTACTGAAGCAAGCCTCACAATAACTCACCATGTAAGACCAAAAGACTGTCTAACAGTGTCACAAAATTTCTCAAAAGTTAAAACTAAGTCCAGTGGCTTGAAAGATGTCTTTTTTTAAGTACAGTAGACCCTCAACATATGAACAACTTGGGTTATGACCAGAATTTTACTTTTAATATACGAACAAAGTCTTGAGTTACAACCTGAATGCCAGCTGCTTGTGCTCCCAGATGGTCTCAGATACAGATCGAACCCTTAAAGAGTACTGGAAGGAACATTACAACATCCTTTCCTGTGTGGGGTTAACTGAGAAATCCTGGGCCAGTGTCTAAGGACACTGAGAGCTGCTTGTGTACAGGAGGGAGACTTTGAAGGCTGTGTAGAGAAGCCTGAGACTTCAATGACCAACTTGAGTTACAACCAGCCCTTGTGAATGAATTGAGTTCATAAGTCAAGAGTCCACTGTATATGCCTGCAATACATCACAATTCCATGCATCTTGGGGAATTGGTACATACAGAGCGTACCCTGATCACTTCCCCGGATGTCCCGCCCATCTCCAGAGTCTACTCCATTTCAGCCATCCCTCTTTTTTTTTTTTTGGTAAGGAGATGGATAGATCCTGAGACCATAATGCTAAATGAAATAAATGAGACACAGAAAGTTAAATATTGCATGATTTCTCTAATGAGAAACCCAAGTTATAAATAATTTAAAGAGTAAAATAGAAGATCTCTTTTTTCCCCAAATGGTCTGTTACTTTGTGGCATTAATAAATTTAGAAGTGATGAAAAATTACATTACATTTTTATCTAAAATAAATACCTTTATAGAATTTCCAGTGTGTAGAAGCTTCTTTAAAGTTGAGCCTGAAAATTTAAAACAATGAATTAGGGTATATGAATATCTGAGATCTATTTTTAAAAGATCAGCTCTAGAAAGACAACTGTACTCTAACAAAAAGTATTAAAAATAAAAGTTGCCCTTCAGAAGCAAGCAAAGTACTGTCATACAAGGAAAGATGTTTTTAAGACAAAAGCATTTCTTCAATTATGTTGCTCTTCAAATTCCTTTTAAGAGTCAAAATGAATGATATTGGAGTAACCCAATTGCGTGGTATATTATGTACAAATATCTCTTCTCATACATAACATGAATGATTTTTTTAAATGTTTAAAGGTAAAAACAACATAAAACTGCTCTTCACAAAACATTTTACAAGAACATTTCACAAATACTCAGGCATGGCGTGTTTCTCTCATGGCAACGATAAGCACATTTTCAGGGCTTGGGCCTTTCGTAAATCCTCTATCACAGCACACTGGTCCTGTGGAGCAGGCACAATTAAAATTAACTCAGAATTACAAGGACCACTGCAAAACTCCGATGCTCAGCTCCTTGCAGTGACTTAAGTCTCTCTCAAAGGGTGGAAACATAGGGCCAAGTATTCTGTACATGCATTCATGCTCTCACCATGAAGATGGCATGGCACCCACTTCATCATCACCTGGACCACTAAAGCAGGATCTAACAGCAACAAGGAAGTAACTGGGTATAGAACCAGGGCCTCCCACAGGCCAGGTGAGTGCTCTACCCCTGAGCCACAGCCCTAGCCAGGTACCTTTTAGAACAAAAACATATTCCCGAGGCTTAGGCAAGGAAATTTTCTCTCAACCAAGTCATATATCTTGAGAAAAAAAATACCCTGATGAAAATTTTTTGTAGTATTAAAAAACCAGATCATCACTCACATTTATTCCACTACTGTATTTGAAAGAGATACTCCATTATGAAACGGAGCCAGTGTCTCATGGTGACTGATGCAAGGCCCATCCCTGGGGACATCAGCTTTGCATCCGACAGGTGTGTGGACACCCAGAGCAAAACCCAGCAGTTTGAGGGGACCAGCCTAAGTGCTGTGAGGCTACTGTCCCACCTACACTAGGCTGTGTCTCTTTAAGGCGCCTCAAAGATCAGGAGCTCTTTGATTGCTGAAAGTAAAAGGATAAATGAATGAGTAAATACAATGCATTTACATGAAGCTGGGATTTAGCTCAGTGGTACCGCCACCTGCCTTGAAAGTGCAAGTTCCTGAGAAAAAAAAAAAGCATTTACATGGACTTAGTCTATGAATTTCTAATTCCTATTGGCTAACTTGTACTGTATTTCCAACATAAATATCCTTTGGATTTAAGTCTGGCTACTTTCAGAGCCAGCAAGAACACCAGGACTGAAATGAAAATGAAGGCTTTGCATAAATTTAAGCGACACCAAAACAAAAAACTCAGTAACAGAAAATATGTTTTAATTCAATTTATAATTAATGCAAAAAGTCCATGATGAACAATACTAAAATTTTAAGTATTAGTGTTATGTTGAGCCACACAGAAGGCCTGAGGTAAGAGAAAAAAACGTGTACTTCTGTATACATGTTTTTATGTATTTTTAATGGTTAATGTTTCCCAGAACACTGAAATAGTTGAAATTATATTTAAAAATTAAAAATCAGGTACACTAAAACTCGTACCATTTGCTTAAATATTTTATTTATAATGAAGAATGTGTTATAATTTTACTTTCCTGGCTTTAGTGGAAACAACTCTTCAATAATATTCAAAATCTGCCTCTTTGCTTCTCATTTTCAGTTGTAAGAATGGCCATTATTGACAATGTTTCTTTGACCAAGCAAAAATCTTTTAATGTATTTTTAAGGTAGGAAGTTCATAAAGGTACTGTTAATCTAACTTTAACATTACAAAATCTTTTATTTTAGGTTTATCTCTTATAACTCCCTCTATATAATATGCCTCTGACGAAACAACAAGCCACGCAATACTCCATGAGGCAGGTGTCAGGAAGGTGGTGAGCCTCCCTCTGCACACTAGTGCATAAAGCCAGCAAGAAGAGGCCAGTGGAGCAAGAACCCAAGACTTCCTGCCACTTAAGATCCACACTGCACAATGGAGCAGTAGTCTGCTGAAGGAATTTAAAATTAACCAAAATTTTGCTAAAAACCAATCAAGGACCAAGATGTAAAATATGATTATATAACTGCTAGAAGAAAATACAGGACATCTTTATAACTTCAGGTTAAACACATTCCACAAAAGAAAAAAATGATAAATTCGATTTCTTGAAAATGAAAAAGTTTAGTCTTCAAATGACACTATTAAGAGACTGTAAAAATAAGACAGGGAAAAAATATTTCCAAGGAAAATATATAATAAAGAACTTGTACAAAGAATATGTGAAAAAAATTCCCAAAATTCAGTATGAAAAAAATAAACCAATGTTTAAATGTGCAGTAGATTTGAACATACATGCCACCAAAGACTCACAGATGACAAACATATGAAAAGATGCTCAAGGTCATTAGTTAATGAGATACTACTGCCAATGAAATTTTCAAAAAAACAACTGAAAACAAATGTTAACTAGAACCAGGATATTGCCATTGGGAATATAACATGGTATGATGACTCTAGAAAACCACTGAGTGGTTCAACATCACCTTTATAGGAATCAACCATGCAATCCCCAAGAGATGGGAAACCATATGTCCACACAAAGACTTATTCACAAATATTTACAGTATCTTTATGTGTAACAGACAAATACTAAAAACACCCCAAATATCTATCAATTAACAGATGATTAAAAAATTACAGCGAAACCACACAATGGAATATACTGTTCACAAATTTACAAAGGAATGAACTATTAATACATGCAACAAATTAATCTCAAAATAATTACACCAAACGAAAGATGCAAAACAAACAAACGAGCACATACTACATGATTCCATTTATGTAAGACTCTAGAAACTGCAAGCTAGTCTGTAATGACAAACAGCAGACCAACAGTTGCCTAGGGACTGGGCAGTGAGGAGAGAAGTGGAGACAGGGATTGCCATGGCGTGGGAAACTTTTGGGGCTGGTGCCTGTGTTCGTTATCTCAACGGAAGTAGTGATGTCATGTGTATACACCTATGCCAAAACTTTTCAGAATGGCATTTTCAATATATTCAATTTGATGTATATTCATTTTAACCCCCCCAAAACTGTTTAAAAATAAGAAAATATAGGACAGGTGGTCTGGAAGTGACTAAGGGTGAAAAATCAGGATGGTGATTATGATGAGACAGATCTATACAATGACAAGGGTCAGGGAGCCACCTGAGGATGGGGGTAGTAGAGGGCAACAGGCTGATGGTTAACTTGGCATGAAGAAAAGGGACTAACAGAAATCAAAGCCATGGAAAGTAAAAGGACAAGTAAGGGGAGATCAGAAGACTTGGTGGCAACAAGGAGGGACAAGTTGGCAGGCACAGTCCAGGGAGAGAGATTTCCACAGAGTAGGCGGAGGCTGATGTCTGGATTTTGCATGGAAGAAAAGACAGACTATGATCTCACCCCTCTACTCCTGGGAGAGACAAAGGAGCCTCAGGAAAAGTTAGATTTCAGAAGGGCAAGGAAAAAGAGGCTAAGGCTTCAGGGCTATTGTTCAATTGGGTGAGCGGGATGTGAGTTCCTGCCAACACTTGTGAACATGCAGGCATGTGGGGACCTGGGCTCAGTGAAGCCTAGCTGTGATGCACTCCTGTGGGGTTCTGGTGTAAAGGGCATGAGGCCCTGCTCCCTGGGGAAGATGCAGGGTGGCTTGGGCCCAACTTCAAGGGAACCAGGGAAGGCTGCTGGACTCAGGCTTGGAGGAAAGGGAAGGACCCCAGAGAAATGAGGCTGTGTTCACATTGCAGGTGAAGTGGGGCCACACTCATGAAAAGCAAAACACAAATTTCAGCTTAGGAATGCACTTGGCTTTTATACTATGTATAAGAGAAACCTAGTCGAATAAACCAGTAACAACTCATATATAAAAAAAATACATGAGTATTCACATATGTGAACTTTCCACTGAGTCCCACCCCTTTAACTCTTAGGAGGCTTATTTATTTTATTTTTAGGGTCATTTATTTTTTATTTATTTTTTTTGGTACCGGGGATCGAACTTGGGACCTTGCTCTTGCGAGGCAGGCGGCAGAACCACTGAGCTAAATCCCCAGCCCAGGGTCATTTATTTTTAAACATTTTTGCTATAAAACATCTCTAATACAAAATATGTTCTCTCTCCTACTCTAGAAATACTGAGTTGAGGCACAGGACTGTATATTGAATGAGACAAGAAGCCTTTCCAGAGGAGCAGTAAACCCTTTGGAAATGAACACCCATATTAACTTCAGTCCTGTGTTGATGACTCATGGGCACATGTGGGAGTACCCTCATCTGCCCCTGTATCAGTCTCCCTGTTTTGCTGCTGGTGCCATTCTGTTATCTCCCTCCCTGTCACTTCTCAATGCTGCCAAAAATAAAGTGTCAAGCAGCCACCTGTCTGTCCCCACTATGACTTACTGGCCTAAAAAATGATTTCAGAAAACGCTTGACAAACAATTTTTTGATTTGTAGTCAGTACTGGAAATGTACAAACAGCTCAGTATTGGCTGTCATGCATCATAGAGCTCATGAGTGTGTGTCAATCATTGATCTTCTTGCTCTCCAAACATCACGTGAAGAGTACCTGTGTATACTTGGAAGAGAAAATTCCTGTTTGTTTCACACTACAAAACACAGAATTCAAATATTTCCTCACTCGGAGATTTACAGCCAAAAGCCACCCATTTAAAGGTCAAGCCAAGAGAAACTACAGACTATTTTAACTTCTACAAACTGTTTTAAGAGAAACAGAATGCCTCTGGTTGATGCTGACAAAACAAAACATGACAAAAAATTTAAAAGATGACTCTGAGTATTGTGATAGTTGGCATCTCAAATGACTTTCCCCCTTCTCAGGGTTAAAATGTGTTTACTGG